CCCCCCCCCCCCCCCAGAGGGGACAACTCCGGCTCCAAGCCCTGGCCGTGAGGGAGCGCTGTGGGGACGCGCTGCCCTGCGCCTTGAAGTGTTGGGCAGGTGGTGGGAGTTCCTGAGGCTTCAACATCAGGATTTTAAAGCACCTGTCTCTGTCATTTTTACTTTTAGGGTTTTGGCCAAATTGGGCGAGGGCACAAAATAACCACTTACCCCTTCTCACCGAGGAAGAACGGGAGAAAGGGTAAGTAAGGAATGATCAGGGGTGGAAGGAGCTAGGACTATATAAGAAAGAGCAAGGGAGACAAAAACCGAGAGCCAGAACTGCCCCTGGGGGATGTGCGGGCCAAATTCTACCGTTATCATCAGGAAGCCGAGGCCCACCTTCAAGGCTCACACACTCCAAACCCGAAAGTTTTCTCAGGCCTAGAGCCTGTAGAGCTGGCTGGGAACTTGACAGCTTGGCATAGATCCCTTTTAGCTACTTGACCCGACAGCTTTCTGTCGTTACCCTTCCCGTCTTTGGAACGTTGGTCTTGCAGTTGTCTGCCTCCCCACCATGGCGCTCTCTAAGCTAGCTTTGATTAATCCCCCAGACTGTAGTCATTAAACAATCATGGCCCTGCTTGATTACTGACAGGGACCCACCCACAGATTTTTTTTTTTTTTTTAAGAGACTTCTGTAAAAATTCTTTAGAACGCCAAAGGGTAAAAATAACAATATCATAACTGTTGAAATTCTTTTGGGATCTTCTCTCAAGCTCACAGAGGAAGGTTTTGTTTTTGTTTTTGTTTTTGATTTTCGATTTTTGGCGTGGGGGTGAAATTACCAGGCAGGGCCATTTTTCCTTGACTTTGATACCCCTTCACAAATACTCTCTTCCCTTCTGAAAAGTGGCCAAACAGCACACTGAAACCCTCGGAGGTTTGCTGTGATTTTTCAGTGTGGTGTCTTACACTGGTTCTTTTGTGCAAATCTTCCATCACTTTCCATCCTTCTACCTTCTTACTGGAATGAAACACAGCTCCTCTCAGAACATTGGGAATGCCTTATGCGTCCTATGTGTCCCATGTAAACAAGTGTTTTCAGTTAGTTAAAATTCAGGTTAGCCCCAAGCAAGAATGTAGCAAACCATTCTGGGATACTTACACAGGACAGCCAGAATTGCCTTCTGTGGCAACTTGGCCCTGCCTGCCTGTACCCTTAACCTGCCTTCTTACTTGTCTGTGTATATGGCTCAGATAGCCATATACATAATGTATGAAAAACTAGAAAATAGTTGTTTATGGATGATGGGTTCATTCATTAGTGCAGTGGATATTTATCTATTATCTTTTCCTACCAAACGACCGAGCACTGATGGATAAGTTGGATGGTAAGAATGATGAGCCTGTGTTGGAAATGGCCATTTGGGGCAGGCCTTTCATCAGTTTTCTGTGGATTTTCAGAATAGTTAAGTGTTATTGTAATAGACCTTCCCTATACTATTGAGCTTAGTCTATACAGTGTTGCGGGTGGACAGTGCTATTTTTCTGCCTTCTAGCACGTTCAGTGGTAAACTTTCAAGGATTACTGACGTGGTGATTTATGTCCTTTTTTAGAATAGTGTTGTTACTGGACAGAGAATCAGTTGTGAACTCAGGTTAGGCTGCTGACTGCTTGAAAATCAATACTTGAGAGACAGGTGATGGTGGCAAAGGAAAGATTGCTTTATTGAGGAAGCTGGCAACCTGGGAGGATGGTGGAGTAATGTCTCAAAGACCATCTTCCCAGTCCAGGTGCAGCTGGAGAGTTTTTAAGGGGAAGGCGTGAAGAATGGGGAGAGGGGGCATTCTGATTGCCACATTCTGGAGAAGCTGGCGCCCAGGCGGTTAGTTGTGTGTCGACATGACCCTGAAGAGGCTCGTTGGCATCGGTGGCAGCTGTTTTCTAATGTGATTAGGTGTTATCTTCTGGGAAGGTTTGGTTCTTCACTCCTCAAGGCCAGCGGTTTGCAAATCTCCAGGAAAAGTAGGTTAGTTTGGCTACAGACCAACGGACTTAGGTCAGCAAGCACGAAGGGCATAAGCTTGAGGCAAGTTAACCCTTAAGACTGGTTGGAGTGCTGTTACAGTGTTATAGTCATTTTCCAGTGTAATAAGTGTATTGTACCAGTATAAAAATTACATGAGGATAATGGTTTGAATTGTTGCATAAAGATAATGTAAGATGAGAAAATATGGAGAGTGTTATGGGGGATTCACTTAAAGAAAGTAAGTACTAGGCTGGTCACCTGTATGAGTTTCTGGTATATTTAACCTCATTTTTTATTGAAGATGACTTTTTCTGGTTACATAAGGTTAAAAATGAATCTTGCAGGGATATGAAAGATGGAAAGCAAGTCTCTTAAGAGCTTACTCTTAGATGAACCTTCTCAACAATTTGTGTCTATTTCTTCAACTATTTGTTTCATGATTATGTGTTACTATTTGGCCTTCTACCTCTATGTTCTTGTCTGTGTACCAGGCCAATCCTCCTGTAGAAGTGGCATGGCTTTTAGATTCTTCTAGACATTGGCTTGAGTCCTGGCTCTTATCTCATAAGCTCTGCGACTTTGGACCAGTTAAAACTTTGCTCCCTAACGTCTCACCTGTCAAAACAGAACGATGAGTATATTTAAAAATGTGTGAAAAAACAGCGCCTGGCATATAGATACTAACTGTTAACTTCCCTCCTTTTTTATCTGGTCAACCATCACATTCTTCATGATCTTCTTTGCTATTTAAGTAAGGTATCTTGTATTTCACTTTCCTGAAGGTGGATGTTTGCATTTTCACAGTCACCACTTGTTATATCTGATCCTAGAATTTCTGGGACAAGGACTGACCCCTGACGTGGCTTGAATTCCCCCTATGAAATCATTCCACAGCTATGCCTATAGAGTGTCAGCTTGAAAAATGAAGGGAAAGGGTTTCTATAAATGTGTTTATAAAGCTCTGACACTGTTCCTAACGTGGGAAAGACATACCACCGCATTTAGCTGAGTGCTTAAATTTAGGATTTCTATTTCAGAAATGTCTTTGGTTTATAAGAATTACAATAAAAATACTGATGCTACATGTCCAAACTGTCATGATTTTGCCAAGTTGTAGGTTTAATATACAGCTAAGCTGTGTATTTAGTGTATCTAATACAGCTCTGGAAGCCAAGAAAGACAAGTCCACAGACATCAGATTTTACACCAGACATCTGGCTTCACTTCGCTAAGGAGTACATTTTGTCAGTAGATTAGAGGCCTATCTGCTCTAGTTGGTGACATTGTATCATCAGCTCTGGTCTGTAGGGTTTAGTGTGATGTTTTATTCAAATGACAGCACATGCTAAATGGGCACCTATTCAGAAAAGCACACTTCCCACAGGTGTGTTCTGGTGTCGTTGCTCTTACAAGTTAACGAGGTAAAATAGTTTCTATCCTTGGTGATTTTTTTGTGGAAAAACATATTCTTGTATTCCAGAAATTCATTTCCAAGTCCATTTTTGTTTGCAGTGTTGAACGGTGTACTTACAGAAATCGAATAACAAATAGACTTTAGATTTTCAGATCAGGACCCCAAAAAGCTATTTTAACTCATTGTATACCCATTATGTATCAGTGGTACTATAGACTCTAGCCAACATTTATAATAGGGTTTTGGAGAATAATATATTCTGAGTTCCAGTCTAGAATAGCGGAACCACATCCCTCATTTTGAGGCAGTCAGGAATATAGAAATACTCTAGATGCTATAACTTCTGGGTTTTCAAGTAGGCTCTGTGATTGCTTAGCTGTGATCTTGGATACAAATTTTTTATCTGTAAAATGGAATAATTGCTCATGATTATTGTGAAATTTAGTGAGCATTTGTAAAGTAGCACAATATCTGGTTCAAAATTAGCCATCAGTAAATAGTAGTTTCATTTCTTCCCTCTCGGTCCTGGCCACAAGAACAAAGGTTACCAACCCCCTAACCCCCACCTTCGATCTCAGAATAATCCACTGGCAGGATTTGTGGCTCCAGCAGAGAGACATTACCCCTGGAATCTGGAATTTAGTAGTGGGGGCTGAGAAAAGGCTATGGAGAATAATGACAAAAGGGAGGAGTGGTGAACTCACAGAGGAAGGTGCCAGTTTTTGCTCAGTCCATGGACTTAGGTTGATGAATTACTTGACTGGTAGAAAGAACCACCTGTATCTCTGGCCTTTCTGTTGATCTTTTGTCAGCTGCTCCATTGGAGATTCTTACCTCCTTATTGATGCTTAGTCCAATTATAGTTTCTTTCTTTCTTTCTTTCTTTCTTTCTTTCTTTCTTTCTTTCTTTCATTACCTTGCTATTACCTGAATAATCATGTATTTCTATTTTTTTTTTTTTAATGGGTGGGACTTAATAATAGATGTCTGTACTTCCTAAAGATCTGGTCTGTTACTTTGGTTTAAAAATTTAAAAATTTTCTTTTTATTTTTTTTAATGTTTATTTATTTTTGAAAGAGAGACAAAGTGTGAGCAGGGGAGGGGCAGAGAAACAGGGAGACACAGATTCTGAAGCTGGTTCTAGGCTCTGCATTGTCAACACAGAGCCCGATGCAGGGCTTGAATCCATGAACCATAAGATCATGACCTGAGCTGAAGTCAGATGCTTAACCAACTGAGCCACCCAGGAACCCCCGATCTGGACTTTTTCTATATTTGAAATCCAGTTGATCTTCTTGTCCTGTCATTAACCATTTTTTTTTTTTTTTTTTTTTTTTTAACTATATGCCATGTGCATTGAACTAGTGCTGAGGCTATAGAGATGAAGTCACTGTCCTTGATCAAGGATCTTATAGTTTAGTAGGACAGTAGACATCTTGGCCAACAGTTCAAATATTGTGTACTATTTGCCATAACAGAGGTATAAGTGCAAAGGAAGGCTAGCAGGAGCTCTTGATCCCTGATGGAAATGTCATGGGAAGATTTTAGCAGTGGTTGTGTTTTGAACTGAACCTTGAAAGCGGAGTAGAAGTGGGCAGGTTGACAAGCAGGAGAGAGCATTTCCACATGGGGCTCATAGCCTGAATAGTTGTATGGCATTACGAGGGCATGTTGCGTTCATGGAACTATATATAGGTCAGTTACATTAGGGCAAAGTCAGGAGTGAAAGGAGATGAAACTGGATAGCTAGGTCAGGGCATACTTTCTATGCCACGTGTGGCATTGTGAGCCACATGAAAGGTCACCTTGAAAGC